ATTGACGTATCAACACTTTAGGATTTCTTCCTATAACCAGGTGGTTATGAAAAAAAAAATGCATCTTCTCAAGCTTAACGTTAAAGTGAGATAACGTTTAGCTGTAGCTGTCAGATTTTCAGTTATTTGTTCAGTATTGCTTCTGTCAGTTCTTAATTTCATCCGAAATCTTGTTCTCCGTACCATTTATGTCAGTTCCTACTTGTAGCCAAAACATTTTTCTCTGTGATTTCCGTATTCCCCCTTCCTCCCTTGAATTCACAAAGATGTTCTCCGTACAAATTTCTCTCAGTTCCTCCTTAACTCTATACACTCATTTCAGTAATGTTTCTGTCAGTTTTTACTTAATTCTACACTGTTATCTTGAGTAATATTTCTATTAGACCTTGAATAAAAAAACATGATTTTGTGTTTGGCTTCAGTGTATTCTAGCTATTACAAAAGCCACAAATAATAAGTGAAACAGAAATAAAATTAAATAAGGACCAATTGATACCTAAAACAAATATCTGAAAATTGAATGGAAACTAAACTTTACATAAAGTATGAATATCATGTACAAAAGTTGAATATTAATATAATATCATAACTAATTTTTCCATCAGCACGTACTCTTTTAATTCGAAAACGAATTATGATTTAATGACCCCTTTATGTATTGAGAAGAAACTACGAAAAGCCCATTTCTACCTACTCCTCATAATCAATATTAGGCCACTTTTTCTTGTTCTGCAAAGTTAATAATCTCAAAACCAAATTAATCATTGAAAAATTTAAAAGTATTTTAATGTTTACTATAATTGCTCAATTTTCAATGACAATAAATAGTAACATTTCTTGAACCTATGTGTAAATTTTTTTTATCATAATATAGTAAGAAATGTTGTTTGACATTATTTATTTGCTCAGATTAAAAGTTTTAATGTAGTTGGATGTGAAAAGTATAAACTGAATTGTGACTACTTAGAAAATGCACTGCGCTAGACTTATGATGTGGAATCCGTGGAATTTTAAGAAAAACAATTAATTCGATGTTTAATCACTTAATGATAATATAATTATTGTTAGTTTGTTTTAATATCGCTCTCAATGTGGTACTATTCTCTTTCACACACACATTCTTTCTCTCTATCTGAAATTTTCTTGTTATATAATGTCTTTCTCAATGTTTACAGAAGATCCTTTTTACGGTAAAGTTTCTTTACTTACACAATGTTTCTCTTTATATTATAGTAATCTTGTTTACACAAAACTTGTCTCTGCGTTTAGAGATACTTATTTAGAGAATGTATCTCTCTATATAAAAGTATTATTGTTTACAGAAGATTATTTCTGTTTGGAAGTATTTTTGTTTTACATCTGTCAATATGTAAAGCTATTACATAATGTCTCTTTTATGTACAAGTAATAATATTAATAGAATGTCTCTCTCCATGAGGAAGTATCATTGTTTACAAAATGTCTGTGTTTACATCGAAGTGTTTTCCTTACAGAAAGTCTCTTTAGATGTGAAAATAATCATGTTCACAAGATACTTCTCTGTGCTAAAGTATCATTATTATTCACACAACGTCTGACATTCTTTAAATTAACAAATGAGTCTTTTTTTCTTTTCCTTTTTTTTTTTTTTTTATTAGAAACTAAAAAGTAAAATTTTTCCAGTACTACCTCTTCGTATAGTAAAAGTTTATTATCTGAAGTAACGTCTCCCTATCTGTACGAACAAGTATTATTGTTTATATAATATCTGTATCTCTGTGGAATAATTATTATTTACACAAGTTTATTATTTTTTACAAAATGCCTGGAAGTATCATTATTTACAAATTATCTGTCTCAAGTTATAACTATTCTTATTTCAACAGTATATTTCCACCTGCAAGTGTTATTGTTTAGACAATATTTGTCAATATGTAGAAATATTCTTGTATATAGAACGTCTCTTTGAATAAGAAACTAATTTGGTTTATGCAGCATCTTCTTCTACATAGAAATGTTTATTTGTATGATGTTTTGTCAATATATAAATAATACTGTTTACAGAGCTTCTCTCTCTATGTGGAAGTATAATTTTTCTTATACAACGTCTCTCTTTACGTGGGCATATTTTTATTTATGGAATGTGCACAAAGCCTCCTTTTCTCAGTATAAGTATTGATAACTACACAACACTTCTCAATATGTAGAAATATTCTTGTTTACAAAATATCTTTTTTTAAAGTTTGTGGTATTTTCGTTTACTAAATATTCTTTCTTTGTGAAAGTATTGTTGTTTAAAAATGTCTTGTAGAAGTAGTACTGTTTAAAGAATGTCTTATGAAAATACTATTATTTATAGAATGTCTTTCTATGCGGAAGCATTCTTATTTACTTTAAGCCTCCATGAGAAGGAGTTATTTTTTACGAAATATCTCCCTCTATGCAAAAGCTTCATTTAGGCGTAACGTCATGTTCCTCTTTGAGTAGAAGTTTTATTGTTTACACAATGTATTTTTCTATATGTCTATCTCCTGTTATGTGGAATGATTATAGTTTAATGAAAGTCTGTATCTAATGAGGAACTATTATTCTTTAAAAACGTCTCTTTAAAAAAAACGTCTTACTTTCTCTACATGAAAATATTATTGTTTACAATATTTAAATTTGGCCGGGCGTGGCGAAGTATTTAGCATACCTGAACTGTGAATTAGAATCTTGAGTTCGCATCCCCCCCTTTTTTTTCACCGAATTATGCTGTGCACTTTGGGGCTGTGGGTGCACTAGTCCAAAAGTTGGCGGTGGATGCTATTGACTAGCTGCCTTCACTCTAGTCTATCAGTTCAAACTTAGGTACGGTTACGAGCAGACATCCCTTTTATAGTGTGAAAATCTGCAACAAACACAATCTTTCTATTCAGACATAATATTGTTTCTAGAATGTCGTGAGTGTTCGCGTGTCGCTTATCTGTCAGAAAGTTTGCTGTTCTACTGGTTTTTAGATTATGTTATATCTCGAGCGTAAGCCTCTTGTTGTTTTTTCCAGAGTTTAGTTTATAATATATTATTTCTTGATGTCAGTCTGCTCGTGCACAGGCATTTGAAACAAAGTTGTTCCAACAGTTTCATTTAATTCTTGCAAATATTATTCAAAAAGAAATAAAGCACACTTGTCCACCTACCGTGTAAAAAAGAAAAAAAGTCTCGAATTTTGAAATGACTGTTTAATGTTTCTATGCATATTATCATTGTTTCTGATGGACAAAATGTTAACAAGTAACTAACGTGCCTGAAACGATGAATAATTTGAATTTTAACGGGTAGGATTCGCACGAGCTGTATAGTTAATGCTTTAGTTACAATAATTTCCATACTTTATGGTAGCGCAGACAGGATTAGTGACGTCACTCATGGCTGCTGACATGATTGGAATTTCCGGGAATTAAAAAAATAGTTACACCAACAAAATGACTTTACAATTTTGTCAAGTATTCAATAATATTAGCCAGAGCCTGCGGGCCACCTGCTTGTAACTCGATTCTATAACATCATAACAGGCGTCCTTGAACTCCGCGTGTTTTAGATTTCTGTTACTGTATGTTGTTAATGGCGAAATAGATTATAAGTAACGTTGGCACAAGTTTAATTTTCAGTTTTGTTTGTTATTTGAAGAGAGGTTGAAATAACTGATAAGCAAATTTTCATAATGGCTTAAAAAATAATTGACGTTTCACACACATTTCTAGCCCTAGAATTACCGAAGGGTCCATAACCTGTTTAAACAAATTTTCTAAGCTATTTATGCATCATATTTGTTTTAGTCTGTAATATAAAATGGCCATGTGGTTAGGGAGCTTGATTCGCAAGCTGAGGGTCGGGGGGTTCGAATCCCCCCCCCACTACCACTAAAAAAAACATACTTGACCTTTCAGCCGTGGGAGCGTTATAATGTGACAGTCAATCACACAAGGCGTTGGTAAAACAATTACCCAAAAATTAGAAGAATTAGGTACGACTAT